GAGGCGGATCCTGCCTCGCCGGCTCTGGGCTGGTGCGTGCCGGCCAGGCAGGGGCGCTGCACTTGATCCGAGCGGACGGGACCCCGGAGACCTGGACGCCGGTCACCGTCCCCCCTCCCCCGCCGGCACCTCCTTCCGCCAGGCTGTGCTCGGAGGGGATGCCCCAGGCTCGACTCTGCCTGCCGGTCCCCGGTCCCCCGCGGGGGCGTGGGGATCCCGGCCAGGCGCCCGCCAGCCTCAGACCTCTCCTCGCAGCCCTGGGCGGGGGGAGGTGCAGCCTGAGGGGCGCTGGGGTAACACCGGAGAACTTCCCGGGGAGAGGGTGCGTGGGGGATTTCCATAGCCCTCCCTGCGCCCCCGCAGTGGGCTGAGCTGGAAGGGCGTTTGGGGTTGTTCAGAGCTCGTGGGTGGGGGTCGGGGGAGTCCTCTCTACTTCCCACCAAGGTTTTTCACACCCCCAGGTGTCCCGGGTCCCCAGTTCCCTCTGGGCTTTGAGGTGAGTGGGTGGCTGGCTGCGCAGGCTGAGGACCTTAGGGTTTTAGGGGCTCCCCCATTCTAGGTCCTACCTCTTACCTTCTTCCTTGGTCTGCGTTGATGGAGGTGTTTCAGTGGTGGGTGATCGTCTGATGGCTAGTGGCCTTTCAGTCTGCTCTAAGGTAAATTGCTGGGAGTTTGGGAGGTGAGAATGTCCATTGGATGGACTTCTGGATTTTCTCTCAAGAAGGAAGTGGAAGAAGAATGTTTTCTCCCTTCCTCCATTTGCATTCTTTGTGAGGTCTGTCTGCCTTGTGCTTTTTGTCCCGGATTAGTCTTGTTCAGGGATGGAGAGATTCCCAGGCGTGGAGTCCATAGCTTTTGGCTTTCCATTAAGCAAATTTGCTTTACCATTTAGGGAAAGCTAAAAAAAAATTTTTTTTTTGCCTGCAGTCATTCCAGAAGAATAGCAAACACTGAATAGATGAATTAATACATTTAAGATTGTAACTCATTTACATGTGATTGCTATGTTAACAAGCGTCCGATTTTTGGGGGGTGGGGATCGCAATGGTGTGTGTGTGTGTGTATTTTAACTAGGGAAATGAAGTAAAGGATTACTACAGTTCATGTGGCATAGTTGAAAAACCTCTCGCACTGAGCTTTCAGTGATAGCTTTTTAAGGGTCTGCATATTCGGAGTTGAAGGGTATCCCCCCAACCCCCGTTTGAGGGCATTTATCCGCCTTGTAAATTGCTTGTCTGTTTTCGTGAAGGTTCTTCAAGTTACTGGTGTTATTAGATTTAAAGAAATCACTGAAATGTCACCTTTGGTTAAGTGAACTTAGTTTAAGATTAAGAAACTGGTTTCAAACTGACCCTTTGGCCTCTGGAGCAAATTCAAATATAACTCTCCCCTCCCCCTTCTCTTTCAGATTAATTGAAAGAAGAATGAGCTGTAGTCCTTGAAGCAAGCTGGGCAAATTTTCTTTGAGTATAAATTTTGATTGTAGCAGTTCAAGTGCTGCCAAAGGCTCTTGCTGGTATCAGGATCTCTCCAAACCTTCAGTTTGCCAACCCAGACCAACACCATCTTTTTAACAGGGGGACCATTTTTCCTCCCTTTTCGGTGTCTTGGGTGGCGAAAAATTAAATTTGACTGCATCTTTTTGACTTGCGTTTTGGACTGTTGGCTTTATGACACAAACGGTGGCTTGAAAGTGAATAGAACTTGGGCATCTTGGATTGAGGGAATTGATACCTTACTTTCAAAACATATCAGAGGAATTTGAGCAAACATATAGGCTTCCTCATTGCCATTCCTCTTAAAAGTTATCTTGTAATTACAGACAAAAAAATTCCTTATCTGCGGTGAAATTATATTACAGTTTAAGCGGAACCCAAACATTGTCAAATCTCTTGAGTAAAGAGCTTTTTCTGGAAATCGAATTTTCCAGAGAGTGTAGCCACAAGTATTCGTATACATTGTTTTTCTCTCTTCTAATAAGAAACTCAATGAAAATGCAAATCTCAGACTGAATTTTTTTTTTAACACGTGTTCAACAATGGAAAATCGACAGGCAAATTTCTCTGAGGCTGAGGGCGCAAGTAAAAAACTGAAGGGGATGGGAGATGATGATGGCAGCCCTCCGGTGAAAAAAATGATGACCGACTTTCATGCCAGTGGAAAAATGCTGACCGGTAAGGGGCTGACAGTAAAGAAGGAGCACGTGGAAGACTATGGAGAAGCACCGGTGGAGAGGAATGGAGAGCATGTCAAGCGAACCTGTACCTCTGTGCCTGAATCCTCCAACCTAAATCCCAATTTGAAACACACCCTGGCGCAATTTCATCTAAGTAGTCAGAGCTCTCTGGGTGGGCCAGCAGCGTTTTCGGCTCGGTACTCCCACGGAAGCATGTCACCCAGTGTTTTTCTTCCTCTTCCTTCTCCTCAAGTTCTTCCTGGCCCACTGCTCATCCCTTCTGATAGCTCCACAGAACTGACCCAGACTCTGTTGGAGGGGGAGTCTATTTCTTGTTTTCAGGTTGGAGGAGAAAAGAGACTATGTTTGCCCCAAGTCTTAAATTCTGTGCTCCGAGAATTTTCACTCCAGCAAATAAATACAGTGTGTGATGAACTCTATGTATATTGTTCAAGGTGTACTTCAGACCAGCTTCATATCTTGAAGGTCCTGGGAATACTTCCCTTCAACGCCCCATCCTGTGGGCTGATCACCCTAACCGATGCACAAAGACTATGTAACGCGTTATTGCGGCCTCGCACTTTTCCTCAGAACGGTAGTGTGCTTCCTCCTAAAAGCTCATTGGCCCAGTTGAAGGAAACTGGCAGTGCCTTTGAAGTGGAACATGAATGCTTGGGCAAATGTCAGGGTCTGTTTGCACCCCAGTTTTATGTTCAGCCTGATGCTCCCTGCATTCAGTGTCTGGAATGCTGTGCAATGTTCGCACCGCAAACATTTGTGATGCATTCTCATAGGTCACCTGGCAAAAGGACTTGCCACTGGGGCTTTGAATCTGCCAAATGGCATTGCTATATTCACGTGAATCCCAAATACTTAGGAACACCTGAGGAAAAGAAACTGAAGAGAATTTTAGAAGAAATGAAAGAGAAATTTAGCATGAGAAATGGGCAGAGAACTCAACCCAAGGCAAGTTTTTCTCATTTTCTTTTCTGTTAATAGCAATTCTGAATGGCAGTGCTGGTTTACTTTGATATCAAAATTCCATATTTAAACTATAACTTAGCCTGTACGTTGTTAGGGAGCTCTACTGCCCATGCAACAACAGCAAAAATATTGACCATGTGTAACATGTTTGTATTGTACTTAGAGATGCTTTCTTGGATGTGTTCTCATTTGTCCTTCCAAACAACCTGGAGAGAGAAGTTGGGCTATCCCCGGTTCACAGATGAAGGGAGTGAGACTCACATGGATGGCTTTCCCTAGGTTAGAAAGCCAAGAAGTAAGAGGAATTGGGTCCTCTTTCTCAGGTCCTGCCCTTTTGATTTCATACATCCTATTTCATGGCACCGCAATCTGTGTTTTCCTAGGGCTTGAGATAATTTACACTCAGGTGATAACTCCATTTACAAATGGCAGGAGCTCATCATCAGTTCTGGTGGTGAGCTCCCCAAAGAGCCTTTTCTAAAGGTGTGCCTAGGGTTTCTGACATTGTCTCCAGTTTGGACATTCTAGCTTGATGTCTATTGGAAACAAATGGGCAAGGCAGATTTATTTATTTGATTTGTGATTTGACTAAATTTTTTTTTAAAGAGCAGAGTAATTTAAAAAAATAGGACTGAGTTAGAATAATAAAAAGTTATTGTAGGCTAAACAAATCTTAATGATATAGGAAACTTTTGGCACAGAGATCTGAAACTTGCAGTTTTTCCACTGCATTATCTGCTCGGCTAAACCAGTATCTTCAGCTGACTAAAATTTTGAATGCCTGGTAAAGGAGAAGATGTGCTTGGTTATGTATTCAGTTTCTTGATCTGGTTACTTTGTATATTTATACTTGATTAAAATTGGTATATAATAACAACAGCTAGCAGTTTATTAAGTGTTTAAACATGTGGCAAACGATCAAGCAGTTTTATTGGGTTATTTTATGTAGTTCTTCCAACAAAAGGTTGGCCATCTTTAACAGAAGAAATTTTATTTATTGTAATTTGTATTTCTTTTTTTTTTTAATTTTTAAAAAATTTGCATTTCTTAACATATTTCTACCGGTGCTCATTTATAGAAGAAATTAATGATGCATATGGTATGACTACTTGTTATTCACAGTGACATGAGCCCTTCAAATTCAGTGTTCCCAGCGTTATTAGGTCCCTTTAAGGCAGTGGTTCTCAACCTTCTATGACCCTTTCATACAGTTCCTCATGTTGTGGTGACCCCAAACATAAAATTATTTTCGTTGCAGCTTCATAACTAATTTTGCTACTGTTATGAATTGGGTGACCCCTGTGAAAGGGTCATTCGACCTCCCAAAGGGGTCGCGACCCACAGGTTGAAAACCAGTGCTTTAAGGTTTTGAGAGAAATGTAGTTACAGTGAGTTATTGACTTCTAAGCCTGATGAAGATAATACTTTTGAAAACTCATTCAGGGTAGTTTGCAGCTTGCTCACCCCCCCCCCCCCCCCCCCCCCCAGGTCATTCAACACCTCTTCAAAATTGTCAGTGGCTCCTAAAAGCCTTCTGCCCTCGGGTCAATTCTGACTGTAGAACATGGTAGAACTGTCCAGGCAGCTTCATCTTCCTGCCTCAGAGCTGCTGGTTTGAACCCATGACCATGACTATGACCCCATTAAGCCCAATGCTTAATCACTGGACTACCAGGACTTCCCTCCAAACCAAAACCAAACTCCGAGAGATTCCGGCTCATAGCAACTCTTTGACTACTAAATACAGTTATGTTTTTTAGGTGCAGTTGTTAAACTGATTTTAAAGTAGAATTGGCTTCAGGCTATTACTCAAACTGCTGGACTGGCCCCATGCTAGAAGCATGTCTTCAGAGATTATCTAAATTCGCAAAATGTGAACTACCCCTTTTGATATTTACGATACATTATCCCCGAGCTAACTGAGGCCCTGGCCCTTCCTTCCATGCATGTAGGTGGCCACGTTATTCATTACATTGATATAGGCAGTTTAGGAGTGAAATACAATTTGCCTTATATATTTTTCCTCTGTGTGAGAAAAGAGGATGATAAAGGTTTTATTGTTTTACTTTTTTTTTAAAGTAGTGAGTGACTTACCTGAAACCGGGAATATATTATAATTTGATTAAACTTAAAGCCAGTCTTCATCTAGGATATATATTTTATATGTATATAAAATATATGCTTTATATATATTTGAGGAGTTTTTTTACCATATATATATTTCATATTGTCACAGAATTTGTTAATAATTTGAGCATATTTCTGACTTGGAGAGAGTATTTTTATTGTCCTTTTTTCTGGTAGTATTTGCTAGTGTGTGTGTTGCTAGTGTTTCCCATTTTATGTGACTTTCAGGAAATTTAAGATTTCCAGCACTTTTATGAAGTGATTTGTTTTTTTGCTTCTGTACTTGAATATTTTATTGTATTTGCCACTTCATAGCTTAAAATTTTTCTCTTTTAAAGCACAGTGAGGTGTAGTCCCTTTTACACGATTTGTGAGGAAGCAGGACAGATGAGAAACTAATGTCAGCTCTGTCATCTGCTCCTGGTTGTGTAAGTGGTAGGTGGTAGAAACAGGAGTTACTGTGGGTCTTCTGGGTGGATGTCTACTAATTTTACTACTACTATTCCTAGCCAACCCAACTAAGTAGCAGAAATTGCGTTTTGAGGAACATTAACTTTTCTTACTTACTTCCCTTAGAATAATGGTTTTAAAATGTAGTACTAACCTACATGAAGCATTTTCCTTGGAAAGGGTGAGGAGATAGATAATCTTTGAGGAGTATTTTACCTCACATGAATGAGCCAGGGATTTGGTTGCCAAATAAACCAAATGGATCCAAAGGAAACTGATTGGAAAAAATCAAAATAACCTTTAATATTAAGGGTCCTATGTTTAGTATGATTACTTAATGTGATTATACATTTACATAATTTATAGTCAAGATTTTGCTTTTGGAGCAAAAAGATACGTGAAACCTAAAAGACAATTGTTTGAGATGTTAACTATTTCATAAGACTGAAATTTTATTAGTATGGATCAACAAACTACTTACTTGCATATTTAATAGTGGTATTAACTTACATAGTTAATAGTTACACTCAGATGAGAGCAATAGTGGTTAATGATCAGTGTTCTAAGTGATTACTTGAATCTGTTCATTATAGAAACTCAAAAGGCATTGAACCATTTACTCAGTACAGCATAAGAAATACACTAGAAGTGGTATTGAATTAGTTCTCTTGTCAATATCACTTTGAGGTTTTTGTGCTTTTTATTAGAAAAATGGTTATTGTATTTTTTCAGGTCATAAACATGTAAGAATATCATACTCCTGATTCATCTTCAAATCTCCTTAGGGTATATATATGTTCTTAATTCTGATTTTGTTAGCTCTTACATTTGTGTCTATAGAGAAAGGCATAAGCAAATTGATCATTTGTAAACAAAATTTAAAGGATTCCATTTTCTTAGAGACAAGTTATTTTCAGGAACATTAAGTCAATGTATAGTCTATCAATTAGGTAATTACAGGTCATTTTTTTACTGTTACAGGATGTGGCTGACAATCTCTACATTACTAAGTTAAAGACCATTTAGGCCCTTATCTACATATACACTTCATATTAAACTTTATAATATTCAGACTGGACTAGTATTAGTAGTAGTATGATTTTTACTCTTTCAGAAAAAAACAATGCTATCAATTATCACTAATACAAATAGATCTAAAGATAATCCTTCCCCCAAGAAACCCCCCCCAAAACACACTGTCATCTAGTCAGTTTCCAACACATAGTGACCCAATAGGACAGGGTAGAACTGCCTCTGTAAGTTTGAGTGTGTAACTCTTGATGGAGTAGAAAAGCCTAATCCTTCTCCTGTGGAGCAGCTGATGGTTTTGAACCACTAACCTTGCGGTTAGCACCCTAACTCGTAACCACTATGCTACCGGGGCTTCCATGATCTGAAGATTATCAACCTGAACATTTTTTCCCTTTAAAACTTATGTACCATTTAATTACCATTAGTTTTGCATTTTCCTTTCAAATCTTTGTTTGATAACCAATAATACTGAACATTTGTTTCCTCTTATGAAGTACTGCACTTTTATTTAGGAAGTTTCTCCGTATAAACCTAAGTGAGGTAAGGAAATAGAAAAGATAATGGGCAACCGCAAAGAATAAAGCTGAGACAAAATGTGTTCTGGCAGTAATTGTGGCACATTCGATGGTGTGTGTTTGTATTATGTGGTGCAGTTTGTGTTTTGTTATTAGCATACATTTTGATTAAGTGAGGATAAGGTCTGAATGACATGACATATTTGCACTTATATAAGGTGGCAGTATGGGCTTTTTATCCCACTTTTTAAGTTGTGCCTGTCTCTATGCTTCTAGAGACTTTGCCTTTTCACAGAGCCTAGTCTAGTGCCTGTGAATTTCATGCTTTTTAAATCATATACATTGTTGCAAAATATTTGAAAAGATGTTTTTGGACAAGGATAGATTAGCCTTTAAAACATAGGTAATACAAAAATAGTAAAAAATAAAAACATACGTAATACGTTTTTCAAAACCTGCTGAATAAGAGTAACTGATCAGATGACAGAATGGGTATGAGAGGATTTCAGAAGCTAGAGTTTGTAGAAATGAGGAAGAGGACATTTCAAATGGCCGATTTGACATACCTCCTGATAACTATTAGTGGATTCATGCGGAATTCCCCCAACCTCCTCTTAGCTCGAGCTCCTTGAGCATACTCAGTCAGGTGGTAGGTACTGCCTTCACAGTCATCTCCCTTTTAGTTGCTCGTGCACAGGTATTACATTAAGAAAATATTTATTATACTAAAATGTAGTGTCCTGGGGGAAGTGTGGAACAGATAGGTTTGCTGCAAGAAACAGCAATCGTCACTTTCTGAATAATTTCATTATTTTAGACATGCAACCCAAATGTGGGCATTGGTTGTGTATGAGCTTG